CGGGCTTCTCAACCCGGGGTGATCATTCAGTGAGCACGCTGAACGAGATCCTGGCTGCCTTCAAAGTGTGGTTTCTTAATAGGAACTTTTAGCAAACCGTTACTGTGTTTCGCGTACCGTAATACTGGAACCTTTGAAGTGTGCATTTAACCGCGCGGCCAGGTGATACCGTGACCGCTTGGCGCGTGATTAAAAGCAGTGCTTCAAAGGCTCCTCTAGTGCTGTACGCGTAACACGGAACACAGTAACGGCCTGCTAAAAGTACCCAATGATAACGTTTCTGCACTTGGCTTAAATGTTGGGCGAATGCAAAAGGTCATGGACCTGTATTTTTGGTAAATACAGGCGCTGGAAGCTGATATATAAAAGTCTGCCGAGTAATTCGCTTCACTTAGGCGTCAGCAGCCGTCCTGGGTTCCCCCTTGTTTCTCTTTTTTGAATGTCGCAGCAATTCGGCTATACTTAGCACTTAAAAAAAAAAGGCGCAACGCGTATAAAAAAAGAAGAAAAAGAAGCGACGCCATCAAGGAGGGAGCATGACGCTAGCGGTCATGCTGCATGGACGCCCGCACAACCAACTTGCTCCTGCTCAGTTCCTGCTGCATGCGAGCAGTGAGCTTCATCGCGTGGCTCGTGCCGAGCCAACGGAAGTGGGTGTGATGGAAGTTCCAGCGCACCACCGGCACCGAGCGGTGCAGCGTCGAAGCTTGGGTTGTGTTGTTTCAGCGTCGAAAACACATCGGAGAATACGCACACCCTCGCAGTGCCCTGCACTCCGGCAGTTTTATCAGTTTCCAGAGGGGTCTAGGGCCCGTTTGCTCGAAGCCCGGTTAAGCACTAACCGCGGCTAAAGTTAGCTGCAGTGCCTAGGAGAGAGATTTTGAAATCACGTGACTGGCTCGGTAGGGGTACGGGGAGCCACGCATGGCCCCGCCGCTTCGTTTGACAAAATGGCTGCGACGTACGTAGTTTCAACGTTCGCGATCGCATTGGTGTTTGTCTTCAGGGCCCCTTTGCTCGAAACCGGTTAACTTTAACCGGGGTTAAAAGTTAACCACCCTTTTCTACTAGGTACCGACAAGTACCTAGCCAAGTTTGACGAGGGCTGGATGAGCGATAGTTTCGTATTTAATATAGAGTGATGGCTGGTGACACCGACTATTTGTAGCGAATATAAGTGGTTACCGTGGAAAAAAAATCCTAAAAAGGGGGGACCCAAAAACGCGCGCTACCGCGTTCTCGTTACTTAGCGCGTCATACATTTGAGCCGACAAATTTTTTGTTGCTCGTGGTACAGATTTTGGGTAAAGTAAAACTAAATTCAGTCTTGTATGGAAAATTTCTAAATGCTTGGCAGTCTGAATTGAAGAGAAGCCACGTTGAAATTTTATTCCAAGTTCAAAAGAGGACACCGAAGTTCAGTCCTAGAAACGATAAGGAAGAAGTGAGCAGTGAACGGCGGGCGGTACAACGGCAGCATGGTTGGCCAGCATGTAAGAACAGTATATGACACCGTCATAAATTGAAAAACCTGTAATTCAGCTGCAGTGAAAATAGGCCTATTGTTAAATTACCCAAGCGTCGAGGAGAACGCGGAAACTGTAATTCTATGGTCCGCGCGCCCTGGCCTTCCCCTTGTAAAAGATTCGAAGTAAATAATCCTAATAAGGCTCTGACGAACGCGTGTGCAAGGCAAAATTTGTTTTAGACTTTTTTGCTTTAGAACAATTACTACTGCAAACGCTAGCACGAGAAACGTTTGAACTACACTCGTAGCATGCACATTGGTGCTTGGAAAAATTAGAAAAAGGTATATTGGGACGCTGTCTGCTTTTGTATGCTATCAATACCCGGCCGATTGAGTCAAGGCAATTCACTTTCCAAAGACGTTGCCATGCCGACAATTATCGCGTTCATTTAGGCTTAGGAATGGCCATCATCGAAAGGCTATCTAAAAAAGTGCGGCGAAGTCATTGCTCAGGCTTTGGGATTTAAGGTCGGCAGGGCAAGGCGAAAGCCTCCTGCACCATTAATTTCTGACTAACGCGCCCGACATTGCAGGTACGACGAAATATTAGTTCCAAAGCCAGCGGCGCTCACTCACCTGGGCACGGCCATGTTTCCCCGCCGTCCTTATTCTGCCCAGTCACGTGATTTCAAAATTCCTCTCCTAGGTACTGCGGCTAACTTTTGCCACCGTTTGCGCTTAACCGCGCTTCGAACAAACGGGCCTAAGCATGTGTGAACGGCCGCGCGCTCCGCTGTTCACATTTAATTAGAGCCCGAGAGTACTATACCATATTTTGTGAAGAAGCATTCCTTCATAAAAGCAAATTATTTTCTTTATGACTTCGTTTTCTAACTTAATTATAAATAATATGCAGGAATGAGGAAAGTTTTTTGTAGTCTGACAGCATTCTGACTTTGTTTACTCTGTTTATTCACCAAAAACGTTTGGCATGGGGATATTACAGAAGCTCTGTTTTCTTACAGATAACAGGACGTTTTGTAAAGTGTTCATTTAAAGAAAAACGACGTTTTTTGTGTAATAAATAGTACTGTGTTTTTTTTACCGATAATACAAGTACCTTTAGACTGTTTATTTGCCGAAAAACTGTGTTCTTGACAAATAACATAAGCCCTGTTTTTTAACCAATAAGCTTGTCCGTATTTTGATCTAACAACCATTTCCTTATTTTGACCGATATTTTCCGGATATTTTCTGTTATATTACAAACTTTTTTTGGAGTGTATCGACTTCATAACGTTCCTCGACTGATTCATTTAACGTCTGGAGTAGAGACGTTTTCATGGACGGTTGTGCTTGTATTATGTTTGTTCTTGCACTATAAAAGTCACCGGCAATTATGATTTTTAAAGAAATTAAATGCAAAGGTGCAAGCGAACTGAACAAGAATGATGAAAATAATCCCTGGAGAAGTTGAACAAGAGGGACAACAAACACAAATCTCCAAACAAGGTTAGGTGACTGGTGCGCGACCGAAGAAATCCGCCTGGTCCGGGTATCGAACCCGGGACCTCTCCATTACAGGTCTTTATAATCATAACCTAAAAATGCAAGCTTCACCCTTCTTGGTGTTAGACTGGTGGCAGCTGAAAAAAAAAGTTTGCTCTACTCACGTCTAACCCTGGTTAGCTCAGTTGGTAGAGCGCTCCACCTGTAATGGAGAGGTCCCTGTTTCGATACCAGGACCAGGCGGATTTTTTCGGTCGCGCACCAGTCACCTAGCTGTGTTTGGAGATTTGTGTTTGTCCTTTGTCCCTCTATTCCCCTTCTCCAGGGATTATTTTCATCGGCAATTATGATTGTTTTAAAGCTATTCTAGATGGTGTTTTATTCCATTTGAGAAACGTTTCCGGCAACTCTCAGAATCGTGCCACACGGCGAATATAAATGTGGTAAATTGATCTTTTATGATCGGTGAGCGAACAAATGCCACTTGTAGTTCGATGGTTATAGAATGACAGCTCTTTCTCGGGTACCTTGCAGGACAACCACCGACTCTCTCGGTGGAAAGAAGCAGATAAAATGTATTTGAACTTATCGTTCTATTATAATAAAAATTATGCTTTAACCACCTCAAGTGTACTCAAGAATTTGTCCAATGTTCGGAATGGTATCTATATTTTGCTTTCAGTGTGTCGGTAGTGCGCTGGATGTCCTGACTTATCTAGGTACCGCCATCGTTTGATCATGCCCCGGGCGCTCTTATTGGATGCCAGCGACGCGCCGCTATTTTTGGCTCATGACGCATCCCACATCCAGACGCGTACGCTCTTATTGGTCTGCCCTGGCTGAGGATGACGCGCCGCCGTATGCGAGCACGCTCCTATTGATATACTGTAGATTCCGGCGCGGCGCCGCCGCGACAAACTAGATTGGCAATGACGCTCCTCCATTTTTGGTTCAAGTGCGTCCCAGCATGCACCAGCTTGACGGTTCTTTATAAAATCCATCCAGCGTATTATGTGTCAGGTGTGCGAAGCGCGCATACATAAGCTGGCGTGCGTCTCTTCTGTCCGGCCGGTAAAGTAGGTTCGTGACTTCTGCAGCAAAGTGCGGCGGAAAAAGTTAATCAATGTCCTGTGTAATAATAAAACTGCGTAAATAACAAACATATCTTATGCATAGCAAGAAGGCATACCGGGTGCTTTTGCGCGCATAGGGCATAAATAAACCAATGAAGTGAATGTACTAAAACTTTTTTTTACAAAGCTGTGTTTACGTGGCCTATTTTTTATACTTATATGCTATGATTAACGCTGAAAGTCACACACCTGATTGACGTTGATAGTCACACATGGCATCACACTAGGTCGGATTAGCTAATCCCGTTTCGTGTATTCATCTCAAAAAAGCCTTTTGCATCTTTTTGCTACATGCTGCGCAGTTTGTACGTAGCAGGGTCAAAGAAATGCTTATTCTCTTTTGACCCACTTTAGATAAGAAACGGAGAGTATTTTTTCTATTCATTTATTTTCTGAAACCTGCACCTAAGGCATTTGAGTATAATACATGCACCATCTACAGACACCTTTGCGAAAATACTTTTTTGTCTCTATCATAGTGTTTTTACTTGTAAATATATAATAATATTTATATCCTGTCGAGAAATGTTTAAGCATACAAATCTAGCTCACAAAAACAAATTCGGTTCGTTCGTAGAACCAAACCTGGCGTACGTTAAAAATGATCTTGTAAAAACACGTAATATAATTGCTACTTTTATTGCATTCTCTTCGTGCATCTTTTTAATGTTCGCCGTGAGAAAGGAAACAATAAAACTGCTCACGAAAATATTTATTTAATGATCGTCCTTTCTTTTCTTCATACTTAAAATCCGGACATTTATTGATTTCAACCCTCCATATCTTTCAGAATGTACAATGATTCCAAAAGCACGGTATACAATTTCAGCGCATTAACAACAACGTCACTGGGTGGTATTTTCTTTTCTTTAATTATTGATGATCTCGTGTTAGAGGAACGTCCCTCCGGACACCAGTACGGCCGATCCTACCATGTACGTGCTCCTCGGGCCGCACATAAAAACAATCATTTCAGACATTTCTAGTGGTTTCGCAATCCGCTTCATTGGAATCTCCGCAATTATGCCTTGTCTAACATCATCAGGGGTGCTCTGTGTCATCAGTGTGTCCGTGAAACCAGGGAGAATAGTGTTGACGCGAATTCCCTTGAGTGCAACTTCCAGCGCCACAGATTTGGTAAAGGAGATGACGCCACCCTTCGAAGCCGAGTACGCACTCAGGTACCTGCGACCACCCTTGCCAGATACGCTGGCAATGTTTAAAATGGTCCGGCCTGTGGCGTTCTCATTCTTGAGCATCATTTCCACCGCTGCTTGAGTGACGAGGTAAGTGCCCTGTATTTAAAGAACAATACGTTAGTTGCTTTACGACTCTCAACATGCAAAAAAAAATAGCTTGTTTCACATTAAGTACCAGCGAATTCTAAGCTCCAAGCACGAGCATGGTTACCTGAACGAAGCTTCATCTTCTTGAGGGCGCATGCTCGTTATTGCCAATCTGAAATCCTGGAGTTTGCTATCGTAACTGCTGCTATTCTCATTGTCAAAATAAAACAAAGTATGCCGTCGGTAAATGACTCGTTCGTGCTCTCTAGCAAAGTTTCACAGCACCAGCATCAGTAAAATAAAATGAAATTTTAGTTTACATGCATTCAAAGTCGGACCGATTAAAATTTATATAAAAAAAACTCCCAGAAAGAATTCCTCCCTCACCAGTCGCTGTTTGTGAACCGTGAACGAGTACTTAAAAATCAACACAGTAGTATTTGAGCAAAATATAAAAATCTCTGTACTGATGATTTTCAATAAACTACCACTGTAAATGCTTCGCTAGTGTACCCATTGAGGTTTGAGGAAGAGGGGGGAACCTCTGATTATCATAATATTAACCACCGAAAAAGTATCGAAGCTTGTCCATTTTCAAACTGTTAAATACTACTTTGGTGGGCTAGGCGGGCGAAAGCAGTCCCGCGATTCAAGACCACAGAGCAGAGCATAATCTGTATGTTGGTACCAGTGCCATCTTTTTCTCAAGTGCTGAACAAGAAAAGAATGAAAACAAAAATTAAGTATTGAAGCCTCTTCCTTTTCTTTCATTTTTGCAATAATTAGACGTATTGTCCACGCAAAATAAAATAACACCCGTGATATTTTTTTAATAATATTTCTTGTCTGCGTTGGTTTGTCTGAAAGCTAATTTTTAAAAATTCATATTGTTCTTTGTCATTCTAACGCTGCTGAAAGCTTGCATATTGTGATAATGACACATGTGGCATCAAGTGTCGGACCACTCTCGACCGCTGGGAGAAGTGAGCAATCGTCACAGATTCCCATCTATCCCACGTTACCACCAGATTCAAAACAGACCTCTAGATTTTTTTTCTCGTCGTCTGCCATTTCCCAACGCAACTTTGTCTCCAGAACAAGCTTTCCAAAACGCAACCTTAGTTTCATAAGCTTAATTTCAAAACGCATCTAGTGTTGCGTCTAAAAGAAGATAAATTATATTAAAGCAGGAAATGCTATTTAAAGAATCCTCAATCCCAAAATTTCGTCTTTCCGTCTGTGCATGCCCGGCAAATTTAGGACAAAATTTGAATGGGTGTTTAGTTAACAGGATGTCGATTTATACCATATGACCTGACGTCACTTGATTTATACACCAATTACGTTTTTCCGCCCAATATCGAAACGAAAATTGATGTTACGTTAGCCGATGTCACGGGGCACCTATTTTCCTGCCGATATTTGGCGAGGAAACGTAACTGATGTATAGATAACGGGTAGGACACTTCTCCTATACACTAATTACGTTTCACAGCTAAGTTTAGCGGAAACATTTACGTAACCTGACCTCACGTCACAGGACGTATGTATGGATCCACTCTCCCTTTCAATTTACGAGAAATTTTAAATCACCTGACCTGACGTCACGTGATCTATCCACCAATTCACTTTTCCTTTTAAGTGTAAAAAAAGAACTTTAATGTCATGCGTCCCGACGTCATGAAACCTATACGCCAACTTACTTTAACCGATAAATTTAGCCGAAAATTGACTTCAGGGGACCTGATATCACTTACCTATACAACATTTCAGTTATCCTGCTATATTTGGCGAGGATATCAATTCACGTGACATAAACACTTTCAGTTTTCGCCCTAACTGTAGTGGAGAATTTAGAGGCATCCGCCCTAACTGCACCTGACCCAAACATCAATAAAAATTCCTAATTAAATCTAGTCAAAAAGTTGATGTCACTCGACTTATTCGCGGCGAGTTTTTGTGTATTCACCAAGTGGAAGCCCTCATACAACCCAAAGTGGGGACTCCCTCGACGCCGCCACTGCTTCTCAAAAACGGATGGATCTTCATTCAGGCTCGCTGTCTCACTAGTAAAATTTCATTTTGCCTTTTTTTTTTAAAGCGGAACCTTTACGGGTGATACTTTGCAGAGATTTTGAGGTCGTGGGCTGTCGTCGCCGGTATGGAAAAACCTTCTCTCCCCTCTTGGCGCGCGGAGGTGGAAGTCGGTATTTCTCGTTGGCCTAACGCCCGAGGAGAGCGAAGGGGGCAGTCTTAGCGTCCCGTCAAGAATGGCGCGACTAAGGGAGAACCTTTTTGTCGTCTATTTCAAACAGCTTTTCTCCACACATTCCTCGCGTTTTCCCAAATCCCACTTTGGAAGTATCCAGTTGCTATGCGTAATGTTTGATGGTTTTAGAAGCTTCCATCGTGCTTACCGACTTTCCGGTCAACAATGATAATTGTTATCCAGGAAGCTTCGATCCTGATGTACGCGACGGCACCATTTCATTCGCATTTCACGACCGTACTACAGCTATCACTTTCGTTTCTTTTTCTTCGTAGCCCTTTATTCTTTCTTTTTTTTTTTTGCATTTGTCGTGGATGATTACTAATTCTTCGTCTGGCAGGTCTTGATCCTAGGATTTCATGGTGCTAATTTGAGTATTCTTTCTTTTTTGTCATGGGCACAGCTTGTTAAAGCTGATCCTATTTAGCTCACTTATGTTTTAAATTTACATATAGCTTTCACCCTTTCCTTTATAGTTTAAAAAAATCCCCGTCCTACTTCGTTGGAGAGGAATCAACCGCTCCATTGTTATCTTGGTTTCAACCTTTAAGATATAAATACTAGTAACTCTATTCATATTGTTGCCGCTTAAAAAATATGCAAACGAAAAAACAATTTATACATCCTCGATGGAAAACATGTCATGAAAGAAATTTACAACGAAAAATAACATTTTTAGAGCCATAATTACGGCGCGAGAAAGTTTTTTTAGGCGAGATATCATGGTCCTTCTTTCCACTTTTCTCTCTTGCACCTGTGCGCTCCGCGCGGAGGAGAAATAAGCCGCTTGGAATGACTTTGCCGGTCGGCTGAAAAACGTACGCAAGCCTCGTGCGACTTCCACTTATCTTCCGGCAGACTGTGTTCTCGAATTTCTGTGCTTGTGGTGGTAGCAGTGATAGTATGCGTCTTTTGCATTGGATCCGGATTTGAAACGTAAATTTCTCGACCAGCTGAAGCAACTAGTGCTTCGACCCTATGAGGCGGCCACACTATGCTCGGCGCACCGAGCACTTCACTCACACGGGGATAGATGGCGCCCAAGTATAGGGTCCCTCCCAAACCGACCGCTCCGGTTGTTTCTCCCAGCGGTGGTCCCGCGTTCCCTCGCTCACCGCTTCTTCTTGTACCTCACCGCCGCCACGTCACCACCAAGTCGAAAAAGTCTGTAAATCTGTGTTCTCTTCCGTCTTCGAGTTAAGGCTTACCTTCGTGCACGATGGTGGCACTTGTGATCGACACACCACCAAAGCGAAACACGAGGCCAGCCACTGGCCGCACACCACCATAACACCACCACACCGCGAAAAATGCGGGCAGGCTACGCCGCCGACACCGTGGCCGCTTAGGTGGGACATCATATTAGAGCGCCCTCTGCGGCGGCGCGAAACTAACTACCCCTGGTTCCAGACTAGCTACGAACATGATCTGGTCGCTCGTTTCCCGCGCGAAGAGCGGCCAGAGTCATCACCTAAATGTATTTCTTCCACCGTGTCTTGGAGTAAGCAACCACTAAATCAAAGAAATTAATCCAGTATATTCTGCTGTGCAGTATTCACGTTTTTCATCGGGAGATACCAGATCTATGAATACGCGTGGGGTAAACACTTCGTGCTATAAAGGAGCCTAATCAAATGCAACTAAATTTGGTTACACCCTGAATTGCCCTTGATTTAACGACGAAAACGATGGCGCTCACTTTGGTACAAAAAAAAAAAAACGATAACTTTGAAACGTAATGGAAGGAATATGTCTACATTCTGCCACATACCAGCATAGCGCAGATTTATCATTCAGAGCACATGTTGCATGTTCTTTTTATAACTTGTAAAAGCTTTTTCGGTAGGTCATATGATATGGTTAGTAAGCCCGATAAGTCCGCTACGTAAGTATAAGCCCGATGCGTAAGACGATTTGTGGAAATTCATAAAAAAATGTAATTAATACGAATAAAAAAAACCTGTGGAGAAGGCAGTCGCTCGTTCTACTCACATATAGATTGACGCTCAAAACTTTGTCGAAATCGGCTTCAGATACATTTGTTACGAGGGATGGTCTATGGACGATTCCAGCACTGTTGACAACTATGTGGACGGTCCCGTACATTTCCTGGACTTTTTGAAAAAGGTGTGTTACATTTGCCCTGACTGACACATCGGTGTGAAGTGCCGTGTGGTTCTGTCCTGCGAAAAAAAAAAAAAAGGTGTAAGTGCAACAGTCAATAATTTGTCAACTTGGAATCCCATATATTGTTTTGCCAGCATCAATAAAACACTTAAAGGGTCATTGAAGTAAAACAGTTTTAAAAGTCTGAACATTTTTTATTTGGTTTGTTACTGAAAATATTGTTTAGCATTATTTACGCTGTTAGACGCATTGTAGTGTGGATAGCCCTGCTCTAAGCCCCGCCCGATGCTTTGAAAGCTAAGTATATTTTCTCGGCTCTCATTCCTTAGAGAGAAGATTGACGTGTGAAATGTTCGCTGCAAAATGCTTTCTCCGTGCCGTGATAGTATTTATAGAGAGAATATATCTATGTTTCAGAACCAAATATTCTAAGTAGATTCAGTGTTTTCAAAAATATACCGAGATTGCCTTGCCGCTTCAACTTCAAACGATAACAAACAAGACTGCGTTTACGGCGTACTCAATGAGCGTAGCTCGTTAAGCACGCTTATGTTTAAGAGGGCGAGTCACTATGCGTTCAACAAGGTTCTTAGATGAAAATCTCTTCAACCGACCTAGTTTGTAACAAACAACTGTCGCAAGTACGCGCCTTCGTAAGCGCTGTGGGGGTGGTTGAGTTCGTAGTAAGCGTTGTTTAAGCATAGCGTCCCACGCCTTCAGAAGAGCGGTGCGGATAGGTGATTGGGTTCATAGCGGGAGTGGCCTAAATCTACAGAACCACGTCAACTATGTTGGTTTATCTGGTTTGATTTGTTCCTTTCCGCGTGTTAGTGCTGAATAATGATGTTGGTTCCCGTAAAAACGGCCCCGCTGCATTGTGAATTGAGAAACTGTTGTGAGTCCGACCATGGTTTAATACCGAGAAGATTCTTACCTGCACAGGTAAGAATTCGCTAGTCATTTGTCTGAAGAAAACGGGGCGTTAGTTTGCCTACGTTCTAATCCTTTCCTATTTGAAAAGCAGGTATCTATCAAGTTTTACTGTGCACCTAGCCTACCTAAACGAATATTTTTAAGTCGCGTTTTAACTCTGCGTCACGGCGCTCGCCCACCTTGCTGGCGAATGCCATGCGAAAAAAAAATAATAAGAACAGTAAAACTAGAAGGACAACATATTTATTTTGTTGACTTTTGTAGTCCTCGGTCGCTTAAAAGTTACTACCGCAAATCGATAGACGCCGGCAGATGCTTGTATTGGACCGCGACTCGTGCATGATGGAACGCCAGAACACCGCTTTCATAATCACGTGTTCTGAGCTTTGCAGAACTTTTTAGACGGCGGATGAATAGCGGACGGTCGGAAGCGAAAACGGACGCGGACGCGAAGCTATCGTATCCGCGTCTAATGGGTTCGGCGGACCACGATAGATGGTGGCGAAATAGTGGACGATGCCAGTGGCTGCCGCTCGCCTGCTCGCAGGACTAGCAAGCGCTGTGTCAGACCCCAGACTATGGTGCCTGGAACGCGTCTCCGACGGGTGTGGTTATCGCGTCCAAGAAAGTAGTCCCTCGATTTCCGCCAGATGACGCCACTGATGTGGCATGCTGTCGCCAGTCGCAATCCTAGCGGCTTCCTAGCAGCTTGGGTGTATGTGGTAGTCGCCTGTTCTCCTGTGCGTCGCTCTCCAGCGTGACAGTCCACGGAAACTTCAGCAGCCAAAAATTGGTACTCCGTGACGACAGCTACATTCGCGTTCGGTGGTTGTGCTACTCGCACTTTCTCGTTAGCATTTCTACGAGCACCGTCGGGATCGCGACATGTAACATCATAGCACTTCGGCTTCTGTGACAACATTCGTTGCCACTTCTGGACCCATTTTGATGTACTAGCAGCATAGGACCCTATACACACTAGTGAAAGACGCGCTCCAGGCGTCATACCCAGACTAAAGCACCGGATGTCGCGAAAGGAAACACTCTACTTCTTAGCGTGCTCAGCGGGCCATTCGAGCCAATCTAGTAGTAAAGAGCGGGGAATTTGATCTGTGGGCTGGGCTAAGAGCGTGCCATAACCTCAAACTAAATGGCGTCTAACAACGTAAATATTGCCAAAAGGTTTGTGGAAAAATTCACAAAAACAATATTAAGCTTATACTTTCATTTTCTACTCAGTGTATTTTAATTAGTTTGCTGATTACGTCTCAACAAAAAGGAAATCCGACTGAACGCCACGGAGTGTTGCGGCCGCCGACGATGTAGATGCTTGAGGCGGCGCCATGTTTGTTGGCGCCCAGAGAAGCAGAATCGGCGAGCGCGCGGAAACGTGTTCCTTTTACCGGCGCGGGGACCCGCAGCGCCATGGAGTGGCGTTCCTTGAAACTAGGGCGCGCGCCAGGCAAGGCGGTTTTATTCTCCGCTGGACATTTATGATTTTATAATCACATACATTAAAAAAGCAGATAAACTAAATTATTCATTGAAATCCTACGTTATTCTGAAAGTGATTGTAGCCGTACTCTTTGTATCATGTAATTAGCCCCAGATTACGTCATATTCAAATGCACTTTGAATATCTCAATATTCGATTGATCTTACGAATACGAAAATATACCTATATAACAACCGATAGCAAAAGCTATCTTTTTAATCTTCTGTGAATCTTTTTTTTTTCTTGGTTCATCTGACGATGCTGAAATATTCATGTTGCTACATTAGTTAATTAATAAAAAGTTAGCCAGTTAGGCTTTATCTTTAATTTTAAAAAATAAAATTAAGTATCGCGAAAAACTGAGACAGCTTAGTGCAAAATCGTTGAATTAAAAAGAAGGATCGTTCAATTACGCAGGGGCTCTAAAAAGTGGACAAATATAGGCTACATATCGCCAGATTGTTTCATCTGAGCAAATAAACTTTTGAAGTTTTTATTACACATGTCATGTCATCGTTTAGAGAAATATCGTTTTCATCAATTTTATGAAAAAATCAGAACAATTTTGTTCTGATTTTTTTATATCTGATGTGCACACAAATGAATCGCACGAAACTGAACCTTTTTCTTTTTTTTCAAAACGCGTTTTTATTACGAGAAAAACAAAAATGTTTCCAGATTGGGCGACGGCCCTCCTCCCACTGCGGACCGCATTAGTTGCCAACTTTGCTGTCTTAGGGAAGGCAGGCAAAGAGTGGTACGCCAAAAATGTTTCCTGTTTCATGTAACACTACAAAGTTTAACTCAATTGCGAGCCACTATTATGGGCTTTATGAAATAAAAAAATATATATATATAAAAAATTCATAACTTTAGACCAGGTGCAACAAATACGCTAAATTTCAGGACTTCTACGTTAATATGTATGGCATTATCGAGTTTGAAAACTACACATACTATAGGCCAGGGCACGTAAAGTGTTAATAAAAAATGTGAACTTCCAATAAAAATATTGTCATTAAAAAGACTTGAAAAAACACATTTAAAAAAAAAGACCGATATTAAAAAACGAAATAAAAAAAGTGAAAGCTGCTTACAACTCCCTGTAACGCCGAATTGGAGCGCAGCTCTTGAGGAGGAGGAGGGAAGGGCACTGGGGGGGGGGGGTTAAACTAACCAGGGGGGGTCACGTGACCCCCGATGCCGATGATGTAATCACTGAGGTCACTGATGACGTCATCATTGACGATGACGATGCGGGTACCGATGACGTCATTAGTGACGTCACTGCCCAGGCAGCACCGAGTTCTGGGCCAAAACTTGGCTTGCGTCTGGCAGTTTAGGGCATTAAAAAGCCCGAAGAAGCCAAAGTAGTGCCAAACCTGACCTCCCTTGGCAACAGTCTGGGTATCTTGGCCCTAATTCGCCAAACAAGTGCCAAACTTAGGCTTCGCTGCCGGGTAGTTCGGTTATTATCTGGCATCTTCGGGCCTAAATCGCCTAACAAATGCCAGATTTAGGCTTACTGCCCGTTAGTTTGGCAGATCTTTGGCATTTTTGGGCCAAAATCGCCAAACTAATGCCAAAGTTATCCTTCACTTTTTGATAGTTCGGCTATCACCTGGAACATTCGGGCCAAAATCGCCACAGATGTGCCAGAGTTAGGCTTACTACCTTGTAGTTCGGCAGAGCTTTGGCATTTTTGGGCCAAAATCGCCAAACTAATGCCAAAGTTAGGCTTCACTTTTTGACAGTTCGGCTGTCACCAGGCACATTCGGGCCAAAATCGCCACAGATGTGCTAGAGTTAGGCTTACTACCTTGTAGTTCGGCAGAGCTTTGGCATTTTCGGGCCAAAATCGCCAAACTAATGCCAAAGTTAGGCTTCACTTTTTGACAGTTCGGCTGTCACCTAGCACATTCGGGCCAAAATCGCCACAAATGTGCCAGAGTTAGGCTTACTACCTCGTAGTTTGGTTGAGATCTGGCATCTTTGGGCCCAAGTCGCCAAGCGAGTGCCCAAGTTAGGCTTCGCTTCCCGATAGTTTGGCTGTGATCTGGCAGCGACGGGCCAAAGGTGCCAAACAAGTGCCAGAACTACACTGTAAAAAATTTCCGTAATTTTACAAACAATTTGTCGTAATTCTGACGGACAGTGTGTCCGTTTCTTACATAACGGACATAAAACCCGTTTTTCGTTAGGTTGAATAAAATAGTACAGTTGTGTGCCAAAGAGTACCATAGTAGAGGATAAAAGCGTTAGAAGTGCTTTTATCGTCCAATCCTGCTAAGAGCAATTCGTTATAGTAAAGAGGCCAAAGACTATACCAAGAAACCCGCAGTACCCTGCAAAAGGAACAAATAAAAGGGGGGGGAAACACAAAATAGAAATCAAGTAAAAGTCTGCAATTCACGTTAAAGCACATAGGCACTGCTCTACCTCAGTGGGAATGAAGGTAGCGAGTTTCCTGTCTACAGATGTTTTCGAGCTTGTGATGATTGTTCGGGGGGTTCTGCGTGAGTGCAAATAAAGGGATTGCCAGAACAGTGAAGACCACACCAAGAAGGAAGGCTGTTGCTCTACAGTACGAAACGGTTGAAAGGCACCAGCCCAATTCTTGCAAACAACTCCTTTCAGTGCTGTCTCATGAACTTGCAGTTCCACAACGCTGTTTAGGAGGCATAATAAGACAACCTGTGGAGGGCCACACTTGAGATCAACTCTGGTCGTCCATTGAAGGGCCAGAATTCTAGCCAATGTCAAAGCAGTGAGTGATCCGGAGTGAGCTTGGCTGCCGAAAGAATAGTGTATAGTTGCCCTTCGATGAACACTTTCAACTGATCTTACAAGATCAACCTCACAGGAGTCTCATATGGAGCTGCAATACTTTAGGTGTGGCAGGACCAGGGCTGTGAAAGGCATGGGCGTACCAACCGGGCGGTCAAGGGGGGCGCTTGTCCCCCATTTCTTAGAGGGGGGGGGGGGGCAAGTCATGTGTTTTGCCCCCCCCCCCC